GATGGAAGGCTTTGTTTTTTAAAATATTAAAGTGGATTGGCGTTTACCCGTTAGAAAACTCGTGTGGAAGTGCAGTTGTATACAGTTAATATTAAGTATGTCATTGACTTTTAAATGTAAGTAAGAGGTAGTGAAGCGAATTTGCGTAAAAACCATATCCTAGTCAAAGATGTGTATTGCCAATGAATGCGTTTTGGAGAACTATTAGCATTTTTTATTACTGGCAGCTTTCTGATTTCATTTGTGTAGGTTTTACCCCTTAAACTTTGTAGCGAGGTGCACTGTAACAGGATGTAATGACGTTTTTAAGGCAGCTAATCCCAGACAGAAGGAAAGCCATCAATACATTCTCTTATTGGATCCTATATCAGTGAGTATGGGTTTTATATATAATTTTGCTTTGTAGTCTTACATTTATATGTCTCGTCTACCACTTTAAATGATCATAAGGAACAAAACAGGCCCGGTCAAAGTTGTGAACTGCCGCATCTTAGGGCAGTGCATAGGCTTTGCAGTTGGTTCACCTGGGTTGACATTCTGGCAAGTTACCCTATGAGAAACTAAGTTTCCTCATCTGTAAAATGGGCTAAATAATAAGTACTGCAATGCAGAGTTGTAAGCATTAAGGATCTTTATGACACGTAGCAAGCACTCAGTATGCAGTATCTACAGGCCGACCTTAGATCAGAGAGTGAAAAACATCTACCTTGCAGTACAGCAAGTCCTGGAATAACATTGTTTCATGCAATGTCGTTTACATTGTTTCATGCAATGTCGTTTTGTTATAATGTTGTTACGACTACAGAACTTCACTAAGTTTATATCAGTTATCCTATGGGAAAATTGGTTTCTACATTGCTTTGGGTTGCAGAAGCTATCCAAGGTGTTAAGTGAGGACTTACTGCATTACTCACATGTCCTAGTTTCGTCCATTCATCAGCTATTGGAAGGCCTGCTTTGTGCTAGAGGCAGGTATAGGAGATCGATGAAAACCCAAGATCTCTACCTTCAGAAGCTTCCAGTCTCTTGGCTAGATTGACAGTAAGCAGATACACCAGTAAATATATAGACTGCAGATTGTGAGGAGTCCTACAAAGAAAAAAATCGGCTTTCTCTGAAATAATAACTGGGGAATGTTTTAGTTTGAAATAGGGAGGTAATATTTACATTAAAACCCGAAGGATGATGGGATGATGCTTTCTTGGCTAGGAGGAGAGCAGCAAGGCTGTGGGAGTTTGGCACTTTCAAGGACTGGGAAAGCCCAGGAGCTTGGTGAAAAGCCAGATAAGGCTGGGGAAGCGTGTGGGACCAGATCGTGAATAGCACCTCATCAGAGGTTGATTTTCTAAATAAACTTTTGAAGAGCTTATTTAGTAGGATGTGTACATCAGAAAGCAAATTTACTTGAGAGAGAGAGGGAGACATAAGTGAATTGATATTTTAAAAGGCTCATTGCTAAGTGATTAATGTATTAGAAAGTGGCTAGACTGGACACAGGGAGACCAGTAATATGGATGGCCATGCAGGAGATGACAGTGGCTTTGGTTTAGACTGATGGAAAACCGTGGATGGATTTGTGATCTATTTCAGAAACCACCGATCTTGTGAAAAATTGGAGGTGGCAGGTGAATGATGCCAGGGAATCATTCTTGACTTCCAACTTTCTAGCTTGAGTAGCTGGGTGGATGGAGGTGTGTGCCATTTCTGAAATGGTAAAGACGGGAGGATTTGGGGGAGAAAGCTCTCTTTTGAATGTATTACATTTGAGGCTCTACTTGCTTTGCAGCTGAGAGAATTAAGATATAGAAAAATTTGAATTTCTCAAAGTTGAATAATATCTCATAAAAATAAAGGAGTAGGTGGAATAAATATGGGAAAATGTTGGATGCTTGTGTTACACTGGCCTATTATTGAATACTCCATATTCTGTGCCCTTTTATATATAATAGGATGTACTTATTAGCTAGGAATTAGAGTTTGGAAATAAGAGCAATAACCAAAAAGTTATAAAACTCTGCTTACTGAAAGCTACGTTACTACATTGTACACCAACTTGGTGCTAATGCTCAGTGAAGAGTTTTTCTTAAGCAAAAAGATTTCTTTGAAAGGTGGTTTCTATTAGAGAGTTTAGAAAAAGATGCCCAGGAAAACAGAGAGAGTAGACTCTTTGAGCCAATCTCAACTTCTTTTTAGTTTTAACATTCCCTTACCATCCTGTAGAATCTGTCAGTCTGTGTATGTAAAGACTCAAGGCTTTGAAATACACTGGACACCACTGCTCGCCCTGCCCCCCCACCAAAAAAAAAATCCTTGCTTTTATTATCCCTTGTGAGCTATTTGACCTTGGACAAATTTTTGAAGCTCTGAATTTGTTTCTTCTAGTGTTAAGTGATTATGAAGTTTGTTTTGGCCCTGTGCCTAGTTGATAAGATGGCAAATGTTATTTCTCTTCTTGTCCTTGTCAATTTTAGCGCTAGAAAGAAATTTAATCTGTTCTGAGTTTTGGCCTTTACCAATAAATGGCTGTCTCCATTTTATATATTAGACAACTGAGGCCCAGGGAGATTGAATGCAGAGTTATTTCCTTGAATAACTCTGCAGTATTTCGCCTTTCATTGAAATAATAAAACTGCTTCCCAGACCTGTTTCTAAATAATAAAGGTGCAGTATTTCGCCTTTCATTGAAATAATAAAACTGCTTCCCAGACCTGTTTCTTTGCTACTTCTGATAATCTGCAAAGTTAAAAAGAAAGGAAGAAAAGAAAAAAGTAGTATCTAGGACAATATTTAGATAGTAAGAAGTGAAGAAAATGAAGCTGTAAATGATCTAGATATGTTTTATATACACATTTAAATATTTTTGAAATACCTTAAATACAAAAGGAGATAGTTCAAGAAGGAAATGGGTTTGGTATGTCAGATTTTTAAATTCTTTTCTTTGGCTGCATGTTATGAAACTGGTCTCTGTTCTCTTAAGCAGGGATTCTGACCTCAAGTTCAGGCACTATTTTTCAATTAGTACTGTTTCTACTAAGTAGTAAATACTGCCTAAATAATGAGAGTATTTTTATTAAATAGTTATTCATTTTTATCTCCTTCTAAATATGCGTGACAAATTTAGTTGTTATGAAAAAAAATATAGAGAACGAATGTATAACTCTCTCTTTAGTGTCTGCAAATAGCTCTCTATGCTAACTGGTTTATTTGGCTTGTAAGCAGTATTATGATTCAGTTTCTTTTTCCTCTTTAGAAATGGACCAATTTTGACAAGATGTAGTGCTGCAGTGTGCCTGATGGGATATGTTCAGTCATGGCATCCGAACTTTGTAAGACGATCTCTGTGGCAAGGCTGGAAAAGCACAAGAATCTGTTTTTGAATTATAGGAATCTGCACCATTTCCCATTGGAGTTACTGAAAGATGAGGGACTACAGTACTTGGAGAGACTCTATATGAAAAGAAACTCCCTTACAACCTTGGTACAGTATTATATTGCGTTTTAAAAAAAAAATCATTTATCACAGGGTCCTGACCAAGACATAGTTTACATATTTTAAGATATTCAGACCAAGATGTATGTTCTCTCTTGTTATATCAACTGGTAATATAAATACAAATACAGGGGTCTCTCATTAGCTGAGAATTCATTATCCAAGTCCCCACAATTATGTTATTACGGGAGCTGCTGTGTAGGAAAGCAAAATATTCACGAACGTACCACTTATAAAATTAGTCCCCATCAAAAACCCCTCCTCACTCAGCCTGTGCGTCATCTGGGCCTGTGCCTTTTATGTGTGTTAAGCTTCCTCCATGATTTTTGAATGTCACAATACCCAATGGTAAAAAGATAAAGAAGAGAAAGACCAACAGGAATGACTTTAAGAAGAGAATGATTCGAAGATTAAAATATTAAGGCTCAGTGTAGCTTTTGAGTGTTTTGATTGCACTGTGAAAAGCAAATGATTTTGAATTGGGCTATCATCCAATTTGCTGGAAAATTTTGGGGCACAAAAAGCAACATTTCATTTACTCTTTGTATGTTCTAAGAATAAGCACATTGTTATCATAACCTAAATTTTATTTCATGTAAGATTAAAAAAAAAACGACTGACAAATTTTTCCAAGAGAATGTCCCAAACTTTTTATTCCCACTATTTATTAAGAAATTTGGTCTCCTTTATTTTATTTTATTTTTTAATTAGTTTGTTATTTTGTGGTGACATTGGTTAATGAAAGTTTCAGTTGTACATTTTAACAGTAAGGCATATATATATTTACACTGCATGTTCACCTCCCATAGTTAGATTTCTTTCTGTCTCCACACATTTGACCTCTTTTCCCCCGTCTACCTCGGCGCCTCTGGTAACCACTAGTCTGTCGCCCACTCTCGTGAGTCTCTGTTTGTTTGTCCTGTTCGTTTGTTGCTTTTAGGTTTATATCCCACATATGAGTGATGTCACGTGATTTTCAACTTTGACTGACTTATTCTGCTTAGCATGATTATCTCGAGATCCATCCATGTTGTCACAAATAGCAGTATTTCATCTCTTGGTCTCTGTTTTAAACGGATTTGCCTTATGTGTCCTTTTTTGGTTATCACTTAACCTCATTTGGATCTTAGACTTGAATTCTGGTTCTTATTCATTTGAGATACTGTTTCTAGGTGGATCAACCCGTTCTTCATTCCCTTCTCTGTAGTGTACTTGCCTCAATATCTGAAATATCTCGTATTAGCTTCGTATGTGTGGAATGTTTTCCTGGAGAAGTTTTATTAATCTGTGTAAAATACCTACAGTGGGCAGGAAGCACCATAAACTTTATCTTAGGGTGCACGTGAAAGGACTGACTTTTCCCCCTTTGTACAAAGAGAAAGAAAGGTACAGACGGGGCGGGGGAGAGAAGAAAGGCAGTCGAGGGAGTTCTGTCTGACCGCGGGAGCAGGCGAGGCCATTTGGTCGGGAAGTGAAGAGCTGTAGAGTCCAGGTGTGAAACTCTCCTTGCGGGAGTTGGGCTGGGGATAGTGGAATCGGTGGCGTCGTTCAGCGAGCAGTCGGTGGCGAGGCTCATGGTGGAACCATCCGCTGGCGTAGGGGGTTTTCTCCTGCAGCGCTCAGCCGTCTGAGGTGTGAGGAAGGAGGGCTGTTGCATTCACGCAGGCTTAGGTTTTTGCTGCGCGGATGTAAGTACAGAGGGACTAAGGAGCTTCGGGTTTGGGCGAAAGTGATTAAAATGATGGCACGTGGAATCCGAGCTGGATCCGGGGCAACGCAAGAAAGGAGGCGTGAATGAATAGAGAGATGAGAGAGGGGCGAAGGACCCATTGATGGTGAAGCAAGCCATCTGGGGGATGGTAGATGTGGTTTTGGAGAGGCTTTTGTCATGTACACGTTTCAGATGACAGGATATGAGTGTGCAGGGTGGAGGAGGCGGAGGTAGAGCCTGCCCCAGTTTCCTCCCAATCCCACCATTGCTAGGGTCTTTGTAAGAGCTGGAGGACTGTCGGTGGGAAGCAGCGACCACCAGGCCTTCTCACCCAGACGCTCATCATGGAGGGGATTGGCACCGGAAGCATTTGAGGGCTGCCGTCCAAGGAAGGGGGTTTTTCATCATTCGGTAGCAAAACTTAGTAGCAGGTAACAGATAAGCTTCTATGTGCGTAACCTCTTTGAACCTGTTTCTTCATTGATAAAAGGAAAAGTCACAGGAAACTTGGAGGGGAAACGAATCTCAGCCAGGAAGCAAAATCAATGAAAAGATCTGCCAGGTTTTTTTTCTTAGTGAGAACAGGAGGCAGAAGGCCTTCCTGGGGACATGAAAAAGTGACCTACCCAAATATCTGATAAGAGCTGTCCGCAGTTTGCCAATTTTGTAACTATGAATGCACAAGAAAGAGGCATTGAAATTTTAATGAAGAGAGGAGTGTGGATTATGCCTAAGCAATAAGAGTGCATGGACCCGATTAAGCAGTTCATCGTGCAGAAGAGGGAACTCTACAGTGATGAGCTCCGAAGATTGAGGGCGGAAGTGGTCTGTCAGTCACCTTCCCGAATCGGGGTGGGAAGAGGCGCAGGTGTCTTTTCTTTTCTACTGACCTTCCCCATCAAATATAAACAGGCAAATCGTAAAAGAACACAGGTAGTCAGAACACAAAAGGATGGTTAACTTCTGCTAGAAGAAGTGATCATGCCATCCGACGTGGCGAGGAAGAGGGAGAGCAAGTCAAGTTTGGCTTTTGTTGGTTTCATTTCGAATTCCAGAATGAGGAGCTTCTTGTTTTTTCCTCATCCGATGGAGCCTTGTGGGTTCACTTTCTTGTAATGTACTTCGATGCACAAGATTTTATCTTCGATGAAGCCTGATTTATCTATGTTTTCTATCATTGCTCATGCTTTTGGTTTCGTCTCTGTGAATACATTGCCAAATCTACATTCGTAAAGATTTACCCCGTCTTTTCTCCCATGAATTGTATGGTTTTAACTGTTATGTTTAAGCTGTTGATCCATTTTTAATTCATTTTCGTGCATGACGTGAGGTAGAGGTCCAACCTCATTCTACTTCTGTGACTGCTCTAAGAACTAAGATGCATTTAATTTATGGCTTCTTTGAAATGTGTTGTTAGAAGGATATGGAGCAGGTTTTGCTGGCCCCGGAATCCCCGTGGTTTCCAACAGCACAATTATTTCTTGTTCATATTTCTCTCTCATATCACTTGGGCACTCTGGTTCTGGATGTCCTCATTCAGGGAGGAAGACCGACAAAGCTTCCCCTCTCCAGAGGTCACCTCGGGCCTTTTGCCCCAGAGCTCTTTAAGGCTTTTGCCTTGACGTAATCTCACTGGCCGAGCAAGTCACTTAGCCATGCCCCCAGCTCGAAGAGAAAGGTGCAGGTACCAGAAGCCCAGGAGAAGGAAAGGTGGGTGATGCTCAGCGCCCACCACAGAACGTCACCCAGCATGTTTGCAACGCATTTGAAGTATTCGTTCCAAGACACACAATTTTAAAATATTCCCATTTAAGGGGGTTGAATGTTTTTCTTAAAAGGATATGATAAAGCATCAGTGATTCCAAATCTGAGGTAAATTTTACACTAATTGTGCTTGCTAACGTTTACTTTTTGTGTGTATGAAGAAAAGTTATTTTGCTAAGTGATAACGTGAGATTTAATGAAGACAGTTTTCGCTTAATTTCGAAAACAATTTTCAAGTAGCTTTGTAGGAAATATTTATACTCAAGGAATTTGGGTACATATGATTAAAATTTTTATGTCAAAATTATGAAGAAAGAAGGAAATAATAGTAACAGTTTTGAGAGATACTTTTAAGATTATTGCTTTTATCAGGATTTTTGCATTTAAAAATATGTAGGAGGGAGAGGGGGTGGGGGAGGTAGATGGGATAAAAGGGGTCAAATATGTGGTGACAGAAAGAAATCTAACTGTGGGAGGCGACACACAATGCAATGTATATAGGCCTTACTGTTAAGTTGTACACCTGAAACATACTGGATTTTGTTATTCAATGTCACCATAAAAAAAATTTAAAAAAAATATTTTAAACTTAATAGAGCATAAATCCTGTGGATCAAGGTAAACTAGTTCACTGTGGTGTCCAAAATACAGCATTAGAGTTTAGTTACCCACAGAGTAACAGAAATTTTGACATTAATGTATACATAAACTATGGAAACATAAAAGTTAAAATATATGACTTTTCCCTCATCATTTCGCTACATTACCCAAACCTGCTAATAGGAAGCAGAGACTCTTACAGAACACAGTAGGTGTCAGCCACAGCCTAGGCAACAGGCTACTTATTCGACAGGCTTTTGGAGCAGATACCAATAAGTGAGTTTGTTTTCTTTTAACCCAGTGTTCTAACGAACTGCAATTTTCCACGGTCATTGTGCTTATATTTTTAAATTAAAAAAAAAAAAACATTAATAAAGATATAGTGACGCACTCTTGGCAGCAGAAACGTTATTCGGTACTTAATTGTGCGTATAGCTCTGTGACTTAACTAACTCGTTCGTTATGGAGAGATTAGAATGCTATGTGATGGAGCCAAGTTGGCCTCTGGGAAGAATGAGCACAGGTCCCATAAGTCAGCCAGATGTGACATTGATGTTGCAGCAGATAAAGCTAGATGAGGGTCTGACATTGTTTCCTTTCGTCCAGACCATCTTTCCTTTTTAGAGGGACAGCCATTGTTAAGCTTCTCTGAGACCCTCCGCACGGCACCCCCCAGCTGGCCGGTTTTTCTAAGGTACTTGGTATGCCCATAAATGGAAGCGAGTATTCTCCTGACTAGGGAAGATAAAGATGCTGAGAGAAACATTTTGAAGATTTGGACAGATCCAAGAGAAACATCCGAGGGAAGATTTCTCTTGAAGGACCTCACTGCCTATGTTGATATCAAAACATGGGGGGAAAGGGAATCACGTGTTCAGCATTTGAAAGCTAAGCGTAGTTTTATCAAACTCAGGTTCTCGACAACTGCCCTTTCGACTTCGTCACAGTGTTCACATTCAGTGCTGTTTGGTTTTCCTAAAAGGGATGGATGTGTGAATGTGAGTAGCCTGGGAAACTGTCGTTAAGTATTTGCATGCATCAGAATTCCAGTATGAAATGAATAATAGCATTACCTTGGTTAAAATCATCTAGTGGATTTCTGTTGTGTTCAGGATTTTAAAAAAAAGAAAGAAAAGCTTTTCCTTAGTATAAAATAGAAGCCCTTAAAGCATCTCTCCCTTGCCCCTCTGCAAAATCATTACACACATTCGTACCCTATGGCCGGGAAATACCACACTAATGGCGTTTCTCTTACTTAGCATTTAAAACCCAAATTGGATAGAATATGCTTGATTACTCAATTATGTAGCAATTTATGCCGTGCCTACCACATTTTTTAATTCTTTTCCGTTGTAAAAGACATGCATGCTCATTGTTAAAATTACAAATGATACGAAAGAAAGACGGAGCATAGCAACCTGAGTCCTTTTCCTAATGACAATCACTGTTACTAAGTTTCTGGATGAAAAATTACTCCGTTACAAATCAAACTTTCTAGTCCCTAACACTTTCCTTTTTTTCTATTGACACAATTGTTTTTGTAAGAGGATTTTTGAAAATAAAAGATTTCTTCAAGAGGACTGTTAGGGAGTTCCAGCAGAATAGAATATTTGCAACTTCCCAAACGAACCTACACTTTCTCTCCCTCTCTCTCTCCCTCTTCCTCTCTTTCTCCCTTCCTCCCTCCCTCTCCCTCATTTATTTCTCCTTGTGCCTACAAAGCTAACCAGAGCTACCCTTCTAGGTCCAAGGCACCGCCGATCATTTATATTTCTCTTTTAGGACTCTGGTCAGATTTAATTTCTTATAAAAAGCCATTCCTGGTTATTTGTTGTTGCTATCTAGCTTACCCTATAGGATGCTCGAATGTAGAATTTTTAAAAAAAATTGCTCCTGACTCAGTGTGCCTCCACAGTCTTAATGACTCATATCTTTTTATTCCTGTAAATCTGAAGTGTGTGTGTGTGTGTGTGTGTGAATTACAGGAGCCCTTGCCTCTTCCCCAGTGCCTCCAGCAGAGGGAAGCTTGCTCTCAATCTCTGAATAGAATTTTTTTTTTTTCGTGGAAGAGCTTGTCTTTCCAGAACACTGACTCTGTGTGAGAGACCTAGACCCCTCTCCCTTCCTGTCCACCCAATGGCCCATTTCCTGTCCCTGCTATACCATACTCCTGATCCGAACTCAGGGCCTGTGGCCTGTCCAACACTCCCCTGGATCACCTGAGCTCCAGCTTACTCTGTTTATTCTGAGCTTAGTTAGGTCTTGCTTTCCGCCCCCTGGGGATCTCTCTCACTTTCTTCTGAAGAGCAGGCTTTGGGAGTTTGTGGGAGCGGTATTAGTTTCTAGGGCCGCTATAACAAATCACACAGGCTGGGTGGCGTAAAATAACAGAAGTGTGTTCTCTCCCATTTTTGCAGGCCAGAATTCCAGTTCGGCGTGTGGGCAGGGCCTAGTCCCTTCTCGGGCCTCTGAAGGAGAGTCTGTCCTTTCTCCTAGCTTCTAAGGGTGGCCAGCGGTATACCTTGGCTTTGCAGGCATGTCACTCCAATCTAAGGCTCTGGCGTCACATGGCATTGTTTTCTCTGTGTCTGCTAAGAACATTTTTATTTTTTCCATGAATACATAATACAAAGTTTCTTGGTTCTCCAGGGGACATCGATTTGAAGTGTTCAAATGAATAAGTTTTAAATCGTAGTATAGTCTATGTAAGCATAAATCAAGACTGCCTATTTATGATTTTCACATTAACTCAAAAGGTACAGCCCTCAAAAAGGTAGTACTTTGTGTTTAAACTAGAGATGTTTATACACTTTTCCAAAATAAAATTTAACTCTGAGTTTTTAATTTTCAGCCAGAAAACCTTGCTCAGAAGCTTCCAAACCTTGTGGAACTGTGAGTGTGTTTATTGAATTTTTTTAAAAAACATAAAAATTATTTTAAGTTATTTGAAATAATAGGACGAATACTTTTAACATATTTATTATTTTTGATATCATGATCATGGTGCTTATCTAGGTAGACCTGTCATTCTACTAAACCCAAAAGTATTTTAAAGTATTTTACCATTTAAATTTGTGTTTTAAATATTTCACCTCAAAGTAATGAAGATGATGAAAGGTGTGTGGGCACAGCATCTTTGTCGCAGAATCCTGGATAAGCCATGTAACTGGGAAATTTAATTATTGTTGTTACTACTACTATATGTGATACTTAATATAAACAGTCAAACAGTATAAAAGATTTAAAACATACAGTAAAATCCTCCTTCCCTGAATCTTCCATCCTTCATTTTTTTAGTTATTTTGATGATTACCTCCATAATATGTTTACACCTTTGTTTACACTTTGGTGTAAATATGTTTAGGTGTAAATATGTTTACACCTTTGTTTTTGAGTGTATCAGCTTTAAGTCTATCTGTGTGCTTCAGTTTGGATGAATTGTATTTCTCTGTCTTCAGGGTCAGTAATATTTTCTTTTTCAGTGTTCAGTCTGCTATGAATACCACCCAGAGAAGTTTTTCACTTTGTTAGTTACATTTTCAATCTGCATTTCTCTCACAGTGTTCATATTTACCTTTACATCCTCGACTATAGTTATTATAGCTGTCTTAATGTCCTTGTTTGCTAATTCCGTCATCTCTGTCTGGCAGGGTCTGTTCGTATCGGCTTGTTTTTATCTTGGTTGTTGGTCACATTTTCCCGATTCTTGGCGTGTCCGGTACTTTTCGATTGGCTGCCGGACCTTATGCATTTTACATTGTTTAGGGTCTAGACTTCATTGTCCTCCTTTTAAAAGGCTGTTGTTCTAGCATGTGGTTCTCTGCGCTTTCATAGCTTGACTTTACACTTGATTAGGACAGGTGTAGAGTGACTGCTCCTCCAGGGGAGTGTAGCCTATTTCTGAGGCCTGGCCTTTCTGGGGCCTCTGTTGGATGCCCCGAGCGACCATCAAGGACTTGGGGCCCTTGCTGCTCAGAACTCGAATGCCTTCTAGCCCTGTGTGAGCTCTGTGGGTCATCTAGCTGATAGCTTTTCAGTTGTTTTTTGCCTAAAGTGCATTTTAGAATAAAGCTAAAATCAAATAATCCCTTATTTCAATTTTTGGGGAGTTGTTTTGGTAGCAATTTCTCCTCCGGAACCCTTCCCTGAACTCCAATATGTGTCTCTATAACTCAGTGAGACTTCCAT